TATGCTTGATGAGCAGTTGGAATCACAAATATAGAGCTCCAGAGGAAATGGCAAAAATTTAATGATCATTTTTTTAAATTATACTTATCACATGGGGCTAGAGCAATAGCACAGCGGGTAGGGCATTTGCCTTGCATGCGGCTGACCTGAGCGACCCAAGTTCGATTCCTCCGCCCCTCTTGGAGTGCCCAGCAAGCTACCGAGAGTATCTCGCCCACACGGCAAAGCCTGGTGAGCTCCCCGTGACGTGTTCAATATGCCAAATACAGTAACAAGTGTAGCAATGGAGACCTTACTGGGACCGCTCGAGCAAATCGATGAACAATGGGAGGACAGTGACAGTGACAGTGACTTATCACATGGAGTGGGACACAGAAAAAAAGTTTATTCTCCTCCATGCACACTACCACCAACATCAATCCTTTTTTTTTTTCTTTTTGGGTCACATCCGGTGATGCTCAGGGCTGACTTCTGGCTCTGTACTCAGGAATCACTCCTGGCAGTGCTCAGGAGTTCATATAGGATGCTGGGAATCGAACGCAGGTTGGCTGCATGCAAGGCAAATGCCCTGCCCACTGTGCTATCGCTCCAGCCCCAATATCAGTCTTTTGTACTTCTACTTCACTTGTACAAAAATCAGTGAAAAGACTCCATTGTTATTTACAGCATCTTGTAATTTGGGTACACTTTTGCTTTCTTAAAGGAAAAATGTTACATGCCCTAAAACTCCAGGATTTGGGAATATTATGGATTTAATAAATTTAATGTTAAAGAAGAGAACTAGTCAAGACAGTATGAGTAGAATGGAATTCAAAACTGAGTTCTGTATTTTGCCCTCCCAGGAAAACTTTCAGGATAAGTATTCTAAACCTCTTTTACATCTTTCTTAGAATAAAGCTAACTTTTCATCTCTTCAAAGAAACTTCAATTTTTACCCATGGATTAATGATTTAACTAAGTTTATACAGAACAGATTTTTTAAAATCTACATTAGAAAATGAAGTCTTCTTCAAGAAATATAACAAGTCCCAAACTTGGACCACATTGTTTCTGTTTGTGGATCCTGTTTTATTTCTTCTGAAAAGTTCTTTTTGAACAGATTGTAGTTCTATGCAATTTGTTATGAAATATGTACATTCTTTCTAAAATGGGGAATAGCTCGTAGCTTCAGTCTTTCAATCAACTTAAACTGTAATCCTGCCATTTTAGCTATGATCATGAAATAAGGAATCAAACTCTATCAGTCAGGATTATTGTTGTGAGCAGTTGCAGAACCCTCTTGATACTGGTTTAATGGAAAGAAAGATTCTTCTTTTCTTTCACTCTCCTGAATATTTCTGTTCTCTAGAGAACAGAAATGGCATACTAAGGGTATACAAAAAATCAGGATCTAAGGAATGAGGAAAGAAACTCGACTGGTCTAACCTTCACCTTAGGATTCAGTAATATGAAAGGTCCCAAATGTCATCCTAGTTTCAATCTTCTATTCCCTCTGGCTAAGAATGGCATGTGAGACAGAAAAGAAAGCCAAACCCCATGCTCATGTAGTCATTTGCTGCTCGCTTTTAGGAGATTTTGTTCTGAAACACTATGCAGAAACCTTCCCCCTCAGGGTCGCCTTCACCCTCAGCAGAGACCTGTCTCCGTGCTTGCAGTCCATTCTGCGAGAATTATTAAATTTAATTTACCTTTCTGGTTCTGTTCTCCAAACCATCATAGTTATTTTTGCATGACGATAAACTTCAACTTTTTATTCAACAGTATACATTGAATTTTCTCTGGTGTTGTTAGTATCCTTCGCTTTCTTAGTCCCGTCTACACTCAGTTTTCATGAAAAGTTCCCTACTCACGATGACATCACTGCATTTGAAAAGGAGTAGAAAGTCTAGGCCAGAAAAACTGAAAACAGGAAATGAATTATTTTGCTTCTCGTTACTCCATGCTTTCACAAATGGGAAGAACTCTTTTTTCCATTTGCAAAGGTAGAGAGAAAGCATACCATCTTACAGTTCTTTATTCACATGACTCTCTGTACTTTCCTTTTATTATAGCCAGAACTGTTCATTTGTAGCGCTAATCCTTATGGCAGCTTTTTATGCATTGTGTTTTCTAAGAAATAAAACTGTGGTTTCCATTGCTCCTATCTCTCCAACAGCAACCATAGTACCAAACTTCTACTTTATCTGCTCCATATAAGCAATTAGTTCATGTATTTTCATACCAAATCTCTTTCTCTATTTAGGAAATTTTCATTTTTTCCCTACAGGTTGGTATCTCTGTTTCATCCATTTCAGTATAGTCTAATTTACTCTTGTAGATCTACCTATAGCACTAATAAGTAGAAATAATGTAAGCCTGAAACCTTTACTTTGAAAAGCTAAATTTTGATGACAATTAAAATTTCGTGAAATAAATACATTATCACATGGTCAGGGTTTTGTTTTGTTTTTGTTTATCTGGTGGGGTTTTTTGTGGGGGGGGGCGGTTGGACCTACTTGGCAGTGTTCCTGGCGCCAAGACCCCAATCCCTGAAAGCCCTGCAAGCCAGACTGTCATGCAATGTGGTTTAGGAATCAAGTCCATGCAAGATATAATCCTTAAACCCTGTACTTTAGTACTATAGCTCTGACCCAGTCAGGGATGGTTGGTTTGATTTTAATTGTCAAAGACTTAAGTATGGGGATTTATTCCCTGTAATTAAGGTTTTTAATTTTAAAAATGTAAGGTGAGAGTCCAAATAATATATTCTAAATACTAAAATTATAAATACTTAAATGTATTTATATTTCCTTTTCTAACCAGAAACGTTTTAAGGGAGACATTTCAGTTCATGAAATGGTTATTCACAGAATCTGGGAGATCCAGCCACAAGGTTCCAAACTAGGGTGACAGCATAAGGTAATGATTAGGAGCATGGATTGAGATAGCGCTGAGGTACAATTCCAACTCTACTGCTTGCTATCAAATGGCTTGAAAAAAGTTTATTTCTCTATGTCCCAAATTTTTATCCCCGAAGAAATCCTAATTCATACACCTGCCTCATCAGGTGATTTTAAAGGTAAAAGAATAGACTTTTTATAGAGAGGGATTGGATCATTTAAGTACTATATAGCTATTGATTATAATTATTATTCAATATTTTTCTCAGATTAACATAGTTGAGTAAAACCTGCTTGCTTTTCGCAAAGCTGTGAGGAGTGAATTTAGTGTATGACAGGAATCTGGAGTGGAGATAGATGTTGGGTATTAAAAAATCTATTAAACTGTCTTAATCTTAGAAAATTGATCTGTAGAAGCTGACAGGGGCTAATTTTAAAAGAATGCGGTCAACTTCCATAAAAGACCATGAAAATCAACAAAATGTCATCTCTTACTCAGTATTTCTTGCTCTCTTAAGATCCACATTCACACATACATGCACAATGATGACATTCAGTAATGAAATTTCACCAACTCTGCGATCATTAATGTAAAGTGTGGAGCTAGACTGTCATTAAACCCCACTTTTCTGCAAGAACAGAGGATAATCACAGCATCTTGAGGCAAGAACAAAGCAGACAGTTCTCTCCTTGTGAGTCCTGATGCTGTGGTTAGAAAGAGCTTACTTTTTATCTTATCAAATTTAATTTTAAAAATACATATTTTCCTAATATTGGAGAAGAACTGAATGTCACTTTAAATACTAATACAATGATCTAAAAGAATATAAACTTGGTTCTTATAGCATCTGGATCACAATTTTAAAATGATGAAAAAAATAATTCCTGTATGAGGTAGGTGGTGGCATTTTCAGCAGTTCTTTATACATTTATATATTTACTAAAGGACCAGATTCTTTCCTTCACTTTTGTTTCTCCTCCTGATTATTTTGATGAACTCATCGATGTTGTTTTTTTTTCTTTATAATTCTTTTGACAAGTTTATAATGAGAAAAATTCAATGTGAAAGTTAGAAAAAGAAAATAAGAATAGCTAATTCAGATAATTCAAGATCTCATTTGGTACAAATAGAAATTAGTAAGAGCTCATAAATATAAATAATATTAATTTAAAAAATAAGTAAATAGATTTTAAGGGATCTTTTTAGTTGAGAATAAGAGAACCAACTCTAAGCCCCACATTTAATCTAAAAATATAGAAGGCGTTTCTATAAAGTAATCTAAATTGGCTGACAGCTCACAACTCTACACATCCTGAAAGAAGAAATGAGATAAAAACCATTTGATACAGTCAATATCTGCTAGGCACAAAAAAGGAATTTAAAAACTGCCTTCCTTATTGTGAAAATGGTTGAATAAAATCTAAGTTTGATGAATGTTTAGCAAGAAGAGAAAGAGTATTATCATTCTATTACTCTTAAAAGCTCAACAAAAATTCATTGCTATGATTTCATTTATCTTCATGTTGACCTGTAAACTAAATGAGACTTATCTTGCTGTTATTATTTATTCATAAAATTCAAAAGTATATTTTTTAAAGTGAGTTAGTCCCAGATACCAGTTTAGAACCATCTAGAAGTAAGAATCAATAACCCTTGAAAGCCTAAGTGTTAGACCTCATACTTATTCATTTGCCAGCAAAAGCATTCAATCAATTGAGATCCACTTGTCACTTGAATTGAAAAATACTCCAAATTCTCATATCACAAACATGTAATTTGTAGCATCACTGGGGAATTATTGAGACTTTTAATACCCCTAATTCTACTCTTTTAACTGAAGTATTAATTGTCTTTTTACATCAAAACTTTATAGATTGTCACCACGAGTCTTTTAGTTCTCTAAGCACTGGTCTAAGTTAGCATTCAGAGAAACACATTTCTGAATTTAGGATGTACTAAGAATAATCTATAAACATTAAATTATAATATTTATAAATGCATTTATATATTCATTTTATTTGAAACATTTTAATAAATTTTGTGTTAAAATTTTAAAGAGTCCATTGATTATTCTCTTTGTTAAATTTTTCCAGGACCTTAACCATTTTTTTTCAAGTTCACATTAGATGCATAATGTGCCAAGTGTGTAACAAGTTTTAAGGAAAGCACAAGTTCACACAAACTTGTGAACACCCAGTCATGTTTTTGAATAGAAAAGGATCCCTGACCCATTTTTATCCAGCTACACTCCACTCTGCAATGATGAAACAATTTATTTTGTGGAAGTTTAAGAGAAATTTTTAAATATATTCAAAAAATATCTGTATAAAATATTGACAGCAGCTTCAGTCATAGTAGCCCAAACATGAAGACAACTCTAATGTTCTTCAAAATATGAATGAGTAAATATATTGTGGTACCATGGAAGATTTTTATTAGTCAACCACTTACAGCTTTTGACATTGGGAGGAATAAATACAGACACATGAGCTAGTCAGCCTGATATTTCTGATATTGGCTCAGGAATCAATGTAAACAATCAGATTTGGGGGCCAGAGAAATAGCACAGGGGTGAAGATCTTGCCTTGCACACAACTGATCCTGGTTTGATCTCCAGTGCCACATAAGGTCCTCTAAGCCCTGCCAGAAATGATCCCTGAGAACAGAGTCAAGAATGCCTCTAGATGGGGCCTAAAAACCAAAACTATATAAACAAAAAGTCAAAATGCACTGTAGGATGATTATTTGAGAACAAAATACAAATGTGGGGTTCATTTCTTCTTGTCCCCACAACTAACAACCAACTCATCTTGAGAAAAGCCTCCTAAATGATTAACAGCTGACCACACATGACCACAAATGAACTTAACCTAGTAGAAAAAATAACTGCTCATCTAAACCCAGGCCAAATTACTAACCCACAGAAAAATGAGCAAAAAATTAATGGTTTTTATTTCAAACCATAAATGTTGGAGTGGTTTGTCATAGAGAAATTAACTAATATTTGAATATTCATATGAGGGAATGCTAATTGAAAAATAAAACAATAAACTACTGCTATGTGGAATTGCTTAGATTAATCTCAGAAAAAAATATTAAATCACATGCAAAAAATAAGATACTCAGTGATAAAAGCAAGACACAGGCAGTATGACTCAAAAACATTATTCTTTCATAGTGAGATGCTCATAATCCAGTTTAAGATTTATATGCCAAAAACTACTTACTATTAAATTATTTGAGTTATATAATCTAATGGGATATTTTATGAGCACAGAACAAAGAGTTCCAGTTTATCCCTTTGAGCATTTGGGAAATACTTCCTGGAAAAAGAGACTTGAAGTCAACCAGGTGACAGGTGTTCACTCACTATGTAGTGTTTTGTTGGAAAGGGAAACACACAGAGCTATCTAACCGTATAACACATATGTAAGGAAACTACCCAGAGTAGTAAAGAGTAGAAGTTATCGAATTGGGACTGGAAATGCAGACTTGAGCAGAATCAAACACGTATTTTTAATGGGGGTTGGTGGTCTCCCAAATAGTGCTCATTAGGCCTAAGTGCCACACTCAGCACTCTGCGTCAATATGAGGTTCCAAGCTTCACTGAGGATTCTGTGGTTCTTGGAAACTAGGGTTAATCACATGCAAGGTTTGTGCTTTAGCCCCTGAACTATCTCTCTGGACCCTCATGAATGTATTTGAACCCGTTAGTGTCAGTTATTGGTGTAATTTATGAGTAAGAAGAGTTGTTAATTAGATTTCCAGGCTCTTAGAACCAGGCCAACCCTATGACTGCCCACCTAATGTGAGACTCATTCTTGCTCATCCACAGTAAACCGAAGATAATTAGTGGCTCACCAATATATTTGTAATGTAAGAAGCCCACTCTAGTGTGCAGAGTATATATAAATGATTCAAAGGAGGACTATAAAATCACGGTGAGTTGGAACCACTGAAAGAGAACTGAAGCAGTAATTAAATGAGGAGGAGGAGTTCTCTAATTCTCCTACATAATCCAGTTTTCCCCTGAGCAGCATTAAACTCCTCTGTGGTTTGTCTGGTCGGTGAGCCCAGGTACTCCTTGCTGAGTTCCATCTGAAGCTCAACATTATCTTCATAATCCAAATAGTCACCTTGAAAAAACAGGTGAATTTGATTTTAGTGATTTTTAATGTGAATTCACTCCAAGTTTTCGAATTATATGTTCACTTCATTTGAGTTCAGTTTTGCCTCATACAAATCAACAGTACTTCTTCTTAAGAGTGAAAAATGGAGAGGCTAAAGTGTTTAAGGTGCTTTCCTTGTTGTATGTGGTCAGCCCAGGTTTGATCTCCAGCACCCCATATGGTCGCGTGAACCCTCCAGGAGTGACCCCTAAGTACAGACCAAAGATGAAGTTTATGGACAAAAAGAAAAAAAGAAAGATACAGTTCATATTTTAATCTTTTTATTTTTTTTTTTTGCTTTCTGGGTCACACCCAGCAATGCACAGGGGTTACTCCTGGCTCATATACTCAGGAATTACTCCTGGCAGTGCTCGGAGGATCATATGGGATGCTGGGAATTGAACCCGGGTCTGCCGCGTTCAAGGCAAACGCCCTACCCACTGTGCTATTGCTCCAGCCCCTCATATTTTAATCTTGAGACATAATTTAGTTTCCCTAAGCCTCAGTTTTCTTATTTACAAATGAAAGAATATGGTAGAAACTTTCTTTTTGGTTCTGGAAAGACTAGATAAAACCAAGATGTAAAGATACTAGCCTAACCTAGAATATAGTGGCCATGTCAATAATGCTAGTTGTTACTTTGAATACAAATCACTCTTTTTTTCTTTCCTATTTCCCAGTTGTTACCAGGATGTGAGGGGCTTAGGTAGATAATTGTTTCTTTTAATCTGAAAAAAAGGTTTAAAGTATAACACAAAAACAGTTGCATCTTTTCCTTCTTTAGATATTATTACATGATTTAGCCAAATGGTAATAATAGTGTTACTGATAAGTAATGAAATCCTTTATATTGGAGATAATTCTCTTCACATCTTGTATTCTTGCCTTAACAATGTTTTATGCAGAAATCAGATAATCTAAGATTTATGCTGAAAAAAGTTAGGAAGGAAGAAAGACTGAGCTAATAACAGCATTCACAGCTGAGTTCTATCTCCCAAGTCATTCAACCCAACTGGATTATACAGCTAGCCTGGATAGTGATGATAGGCCTTTTAGTGACACTTTGAATCAGTTCTGTTCCTTTTAAAACTGCTTTAGGAAAAAACTGCTCTTCAAATTTGTGTCTTCTCCAATCCACATCTTACTCCCCTGAGGGATTCTTTTTCTGTTATCTTCACTTCCATTCATCTTCCTCTGCCACATGTTGCAGTAAGTACTTTACTTCAGAAGCAAGTTTCATTGAATGCTACATCAAATGTCTTTTCATGGAGCATAAAGCTTATTCCCACTGATGTCATGGTAAAGGGGCCCATTATTCTCAGGTCCTACTTGAGTTTCAAAAGTATTAATAATATATCTAACATTCTAAAGCAACCTTTCTCTTTTATTAGTATGTCCTAGTGTTTCCTTTTTATTTCCTTTACAATAGAGTACTCTTCTTGTTTATTTCATTTTGATATAGCATTAATCAATACACTGTGTTTGATAATCACATATTTCATTTAATACCTCTACTAGTACTATCTGCCAAAAGAATAAATGCTTTATAAAAGTTTATCAAGGAGTGGGAGCGATTGTACAGCGGGTAGGACGTTTGCTTTGCACGCAGCCGACCCGGGTTCGATTTCCAGAATCCCACATGGTCCCCCGAGCACCACCAGGAGTAATTTCTGAGTGTAAAGCCAGGATTAACCCCTGTGCATTGCCAAAAAAAAATTTCTTCAAAGTTGGCTAATATGGTTCATATTTCAACATCCACCACATAACCAATCAGCAAGGGTCAAGAATTCTGAAACTCTTTTCATGAAGATGGCGTCAAAAGACAAGAAGGAAGTCCCAGCCCTCTCAAAGCTGAAGCCAAAGCAAAAACGAAAATCTGCATGTCACCCACTTTCTGAAGACCCTAAATGCTGTGGCTGAGAAAACAGCCTAAATATTCTTGGAAGAGGCCCACAAGCTAACTTGACCTCTGTGCCATCACCAAACTTTCTCTGACCATGAAGAAGATACTAGATTAATCTGGATGTGAAGAAGCTCCATGACATTGATGTGACAAAGGTCAACGCCCTGGTTACACTTGATAAAATGAAGGCATATGTTCGGCTGGCTCCTGACTCTGATGCCTTGGATGTTGCCAACAAAATTGGCATCATCAAAACATTACAACTGGCTAATCCTAAATACATTATTTCATCATTTAAAAAAGAATTCTGAGCTAGAGGCTGGAACGATTATATAGCAGGTAGCCACATTTCCCTTTCATTTGTCTGTGACTCAGATTCATACCCAACAGTCTGTGTGGTTCCCCAAGCCCCACCAAGAGTGATCCCTAAACAAGAACCAGAACTGACCTCTAGAACTGCCAGGTGTGGTCCAACCACAAACAAAATAAACAATAACAACAAAAAAGAATTCTGATCTAGGAGAGTATAGCGTGTGTGTCTAAATCATGGGGACATCTGAGTTGGTCACACCTTAGCATCATAATACCAACAAGAAGTCTAAGGTCAGCTTGGAGTTTTACTAGTGAGATTTATGTCACTTAGTCCTATTTCTTGACTCAGTCTCTTATTCTAAGAAGAGAACAGAGAGTCAGTTTCTTATTGAAAATATAACAACTATTCCATACTGGGTGGTTTTTAGGATTTTAGTATCCTCATAGAAGATTATAAGAACAAGACTGTTGCCCGTGTCCACATATATACATCTGTATGTATGTGTATATATGTATATACATCTGTACTTATCTGGATATATACATCCTCTGGGAAACTTAGAGGGTCCCAAGTTCCCTTCAAAATATAGATAAGGTAGGATCTTAAACACCAAGACATTCCCCTCCCAAATATTAAATGACCACAGTTTCTTTAACCTGGAAGAATATTTACATATTTACAAATCTAACATGAATAAAGACATTCTCTTTTCCTTTTGGTGAGGACTCATTTAACAGCATTGTAGCACTGTAGCACTGTCCTCCTGTTGTTCATCAATTTGTTCGAGTGGCCCAGTAATGTCTCCATTGTGAGACTTGTTACTGTGTTTGGCATGT